AGGTTGCTCCAGCTCGCCAGCTGAAATGACAGGCTGTCTATGCTATAGGCACTCGCATTGCTGGTCTCAATTACCTTGCGCACGTGGAGACGGTGAGGAGACTGCGTGCTCCCCGGGAACGTGGTCTCGTGCAAGACCCGCTCGAACGCGTAGCAGTGATGCAGTAATCGGACCTTGCGCGACTTTTTCCTGTTGAGCCCCTTAACGCGTATGAACTTTTCCGCCTCTAGAAGATAGCACTCCACTTGATCACGGCTGCCGGAGACGCTCGAGATTTGTACCATTGTCAAAAACGCAATCAGTATCGATTTGTACTTTGCCTTTTTTGGAACATCGTAGGCTGTCTGTAGCATGAGCCGGACGTGGTGGCGAGCGCGCTGCTTGTAGTTGTTTGCCTGTTCAGACCACTTGCGCGAGTTGGAGATGCCACCGAGGCTGGAGGCGCTGATGGCGAGCGTGCCGTAGAATGCCGTTAGGCTGGCGTGGTCCATGTCGTCTCCGAGTGTTAGTGCTGCTAGACAACTTTTGACGTATGGTATGAATAGGATATGCCATGGCGTTTTGCTGTGGCGGAAGGGCGTGAAGCCTCGGAGGACTGTTGTAGAGTAGTGTCTCAGAAGGAAGACCGCATCGTGAGGAACGGCGTAGTCGATTGCGGGGGCAATAGAGCAGTTTTCTGGCGTTGAAAGCTGCTGAGACTGAGTGTCTGCAAACATGCTCGGTATGCATACTTGAACATCCTGAGAGGCGACATGGATTGGTACCCTCGGATATTGTTCCATGCCGGAGAAAGAGACATTATCGGATATATCGCGTACGCGATCTAGTTCCACAGGCGTGTCCCACCAATTGCTCGCGTCTGGGAGATCACCCATATTCCACCATTCGTTCGTGTTCCACCACTCAGTAAGAGGGCTCAATGGACGATAGTCCAAGCAGGCAAGAGCAGGCCCAAGTAACGGCGTCGTTTCTTGAGCCGGAGAACCGTCTGGTGGATTCATGAGCTCTTCGTCTGCCTCCTCAGGACTGTCCTCCCCGATCTCTTTCGCAGCCTTTGGAGGGCTGCCGACTGTGGGATTATTTGACTCTGGACTCGATTCGGGCGCAGCCTTTGAAGATTCCATTGACAGTCGATGTACTCTAAAGGCCCCGAAGGGACCTCGACTGATTTGAACGCTTTGGGATAGTGGTGCCCTCTCGCATTCGTCCTCAATTTGGGCAATATGCCAAAGAGTCAACGCCGGAGGAATGCTGGAGACGAGTTCGTCACTCATTGACTCGCGTTCGGATTCCGTCAACAAGGGTCTCCGAAAGCGCGCCATTCCGACGCTCGGAATCTCCTCAAAGTCGAAAAAGATATTCTTCTCATAGCCGCTGCATGTGAGGTTGGAGGCCCTACACATGGAGCATGTCGGCCGACCCTCGTCACACTTCATCCGGCGGTTTCGACACTGAAGCAAGTCAGCGCCTTGATTCCAGTCTACAGTCTATCCAGACTTCACAGGTTCACCAGCGTGATGGGTGGGATGACGTACAGTTCCACATCCGCCAAAGGACCGACTGCGCCGGGCGTCCGCATCCTTGGGCAAAGACAGCCGGGGTTTGTTGGCATCGGCCATTCCGGGTGAGCCAGAGTTGGCTCGGGATTCCACTTCCTGTTTGGTTTATGGGAGGACGTCAGGAGGGTTTGGCGCACGTTGAACGTTTGAGATATCAACTGCTGATACTCTGGACTCCGCAAATGGATATGGAAAGTTATATCAAGGGGCTGAGGGCAACATATTTAGCCAAGGGTTGTACCAACACGACGGGATTGATGTCCGCGGAGAGATACGAATAGTGCGCAACAGAATGCATAACGCGGCTTTAGCGCATCCGTTGGAGCGGGGGCCTTTGATAAGAGCGGGGGGAATAGCGAACGACCCGGTGACCCCATAGTAAACCTGGGGTACATGTTTTGGCGTCTGATAGCTGGGAAAGCTTTCCTATCTGACTGGAGACCACTACACTTGGTATCTTCGCCAAGTCGCCTAATGCCCCGGATGGGCTAGGAACAGGGACGGCTGGAACTTATCTCCATCCATGCTTTTCCAAGACTCGCAATGTCTTCCGTCCAGAGTACAACGAGCTGAGTCGGCACTAAGTAGTATCGGTGCCGGTCTCCCTTGTCAGCCCAGACAAGGTTCACCTTAAGGGCCCCGGAACAGGATTCGGTGTACGTGGTCGTAATGTGTAGTTTAAAAGACAAGAGAATGCCCTCATTCAATACAAGAGTCAACTTAGGTTGAAAGAGACTCTGTACTCAACTACCTTACCTGCACTGGTTTCACAACCAAACAAATCCTTCAGTTGCCTCGAATGCATAATTGAATCAACCTTACCGAATCCCCATCGTCGACCTAGTCTACAATGGCTCTAGACAACGACACGGCAACCCCCTTTTCGAAGGAGGGCATTTACGCGGACACTGCTAACGATGGCAAAACGCACGACTCAGACCTCGGCCGACTCGAAAGCAATACCTACGGCGAGACTCATCTCGTCGCCCAGGGTGGCACGAAGCGAAATGTCAAGTCGCGACACGCCCAGATGATTGCCATTGGTGGCAGCATTGGAACTGGTCTCTTCGTAGGATCCGGCCAGGTCCTAGCTGCTGGCGGACCAGCGTTTCTCTTCCTGGCCTATGCCCTCACTTCTCTCCTCGTCTACGGCATAGTCACGGCTGTGATGGAAGTAGGCACATTCCTCCCCATCTCGGGTAGTTCCATGTCGTACTACTGCAACCGCTACACTTCTCGATCCCTTGGATTCGCTCTCGGTTGGCTCTATGTGTATTCTTTTGGCATCATTCTCGCCTACGAAATCACAGTTGGTTCAGTCATCATCAACTACTGGCCAAACAATGTCCACAATGCTGTCTGGCTGACGATCCTCCTTGTTGTCGTCGTCGGACTCAACCTATCACCAGTTGCTGTATACGCAGAGACCGAATTCTGGTTTGCAAGTCTGAAGATCATTCTCTTCGTCGGTCTTCTGCTTCTCTCAGTGGTTCTGATTCTTGGTGGAGGGCCGAGCGGAGAACGGCTGGGTTTCTACTACTGGGTTGACCCAGGTGCGACCAAGGAGTACATCATCACAGGCTCTGGTGGTCGCTTTACTGCCTTCCTTTATGGTTGGGTGTTTTCCGGCTTCTCGTTCTACTTCAGCCCAGAGCTTATCATCGTCATGGGTGGCGAGATGCGAAACCCGCGCAAGAACCTGCCCATTGCCAGCCGACGGTTCTTCTACAGACTCATCATTTTCTACCTCCTCGGCTCGTTGGCGATTGGAGCCATCTGCAACTCCAACTCCGAGGGCCTTGTGTCCGGTGCTGGTAATGCTAATGCGTCACCTTGGGTTATTGCAATCCGCAACGCCGGGATCAATGGTTTACCCACAGTCGTCAACGCCGGTATTCTCACGAGCGCCTGGAGTGCTGGAAACTCATACCTTTACATGGCCAGTAGATCCCTGTACTCTCTTGCAGTTGCCGGTAACGCACCCAAAATCTTTACACGCTGCAACAGCTACGGTCTTCCCATTTACGCCGTCCTTGCATCGAGTTGCTTTACTCTTCTCGCGTATCTGAGCGTCTCCTCAGATGCTGGCGTGGTCTTCAACTGGTTCGTTAGTCTGACAAACACCGCTGGATACACCTCTTGGGTGCTGTGCGCATTTATCTTCCTTCGTTTCCGCAAGGCCTGCCAAGCGCAGGGCGTCAAGGTCCCTTACCAGTCCTGGTGTCAGCCCTACGGAGCGTGGATCTCCATGATTGCATTCGGCTTCCTCCTCTTCGCCAATGGATTCACGGTGTTCTACCCCGGAAGATTCTCTGCATCTAGCTTCTTGACTGCGTATATTGGCATTCCGCTTTTCCTGGTTACATACTTTGGACACAAGCTCACGGTTGGAAGAAAGGATCCCTGGCTGTATGCTCCTGAAGATGTTGACTTGTCTACCAATTTGCGGGAGGTAGAAGCAGAGGCGGAAATGTGGACGGCCATGGATGAGGCTGAGAAGGAGAAGCAAGGCAATTCAAACGCGTGGTGGCGCAAGATTTCTCTGATTTGGCAATGATTGTCAATTGCAGGTGTTGATATACATGTAGTACAGCTTAGGCACAGGAGGGAATACGTCAATTCGAATTGAAGCACTATTGTGGTTAGAAACGCAATGAATGGGCTCTAATGATGGACTCCGTGCTTGCTCGAAGTTGCGTCCATATGAACTGACTGGACTATGTGCCTCCCGGAACCTTTTGCAGTCTTGGTATGGGATGCCAATTTACATTGTATTCTTGATGTTCATACGATATCATGAACCCCGATCTCAGCTGCGACTCCATAGTGTTGAAGTGTGACAAATTGATTGCTCGGTACCGCACTCACACGCCCTATCAGCGCCAGCTCGGAAAGCGCTCAGCTGCATCATATGACCTTTAGAAAGACTGACAGCTTGACATCTCGATGATTCGACGCTTTTGCATGCTTGAGAATACTGTATAGTCTGACTAGGGTCCCTTAAGGGAAGGGTTCCCCTTGGAGCTAGCCCATGACTTGATCGATGCGGGGGAGGGGCCCGATAGGCGAACTTTGGTCAACACCACCCAAATCCAGAGTTGGCAAGTCATCCCCGATTCGGGGCCGCCACCTCAGATAAGCCCCACATGGGATCGGCTGATGTTTGACGTGAACAAGTTGGGCGGATAATGCTGTGATAGATGGGACGGGAAAGTTGTGCAGATACTTTCTCAGCGGAATTCTATTTGCTAAGGGAAATGCCTTATGTCAAGGACGAGTCGTTGGCTATTTAGATATCTCACAGACTTCAAAAAATAAGATCTTATTGTGGCACAAGAAGCATTTCATCAAGCATTCCTATCAAGACTTGATTAGTACAGACAAATCTCAAAATCAAACTTGATTCTTTTCAGTCTGTTTCTTGAAACCACCCCGAAAATCATGGGCTCTATTCCGACCCCTGTGAAAGAGACGTATGATGTTCTCATCATTGGCTCAGGCCTATCCGGCCTTGCTAGTCTGCACCACATCCGGGAGCAAATGCCCGATTGCAGGGTAAAGGTCCTCGACAACGGTGCAGACGTCGGTGGAACGTGGTTCTGGAATCGCTACCCCGGATGCCGGTTCGACTGCGAGTCTGTGTCCTATAGCTACTCCTTTGACAAGGGTCTCTTGGAGGAATGGCACTGGAAGGAGGCCTTCTCCCCCCAACCCGAGACACACAAGTATATCAAGCGCTTCGCAGAGAGGAATGACCTGTACAAACATATTCAGTTCAACACCACGGTCAAATCAGCTCGCTGGGACGACGATGCCCATAACTGGACATTTGTCGACCAGGACGGCAACCAATACATCACCACTTTCTTCCTCAGCTGTATCGGCTTCCTTTCGACACCATCACTACCAGCTATCCCCGGCATTGAGAATTTCAAGGGCACGTCTTTCCACACATCGCGGTGGCCGACAGACTTGAACCTTGCTCGCGATTTTGCTGGCAAGCGTATCGGCGTTGTCGGGACCGGTGCCACCGGCATCCAGACTATCACCGCACTGTCAAAAGAGCCAAGCATCAAGTCCATCAGCGTATTCCAAAGAACGGCAACATGGACCGTCCCCTTGCGCAACTACGAGATTTCGCCAGAGAAAATGGAAGAGCTCAAGAAAGACTATGACAACATTTTCGGCATCTGCCGCTCCACACCCTCAGGTTTCATGCACATGGCGGACCCACGTAAGTCCATGGAGGTTACGGCAGAAGAGCGCCTGGCCCTTTGGGAGAAGCTGTACAACGAGCCGGGCTTCGGCAAGTGGCAGGGTCTCTTTAGCGACACATATACGGATCGCCAAGCCAATGAGCTGTATTCCAACTTTATCGCAGACAAGATTAGGGGAAGAGTACACGACCCGGAGGTGGCCGAGTCTCTGATCCCCAAGACGCACGGTTTTGGTACCCGTCGTGTGCCGTTGGAGAGCGGCTACTTCGAGGCCTTCAACCAAGACAACGTGCACCTTGTTGACCTCAAGAAGGCCCCGGTCTCTGAGGTGAAGTCTGACCGCATAATCACATCCGACGGCAAGGAGCACGAGCTCGACATCCTGATCTACGCCACTGGTTTCGATGCCATTACAGGCTCCTTCAGCGCAATCGAATGGCAAGGCAAAGATGGACGACCACTGATTGCGCCGAGTGGAACACCCAAAGGCGAGCGAGCCGTCTGGGTCGACAACAGACCCTACACGTTCCTCGGCATGACGGTGCCCTCTATGCCCAACATGTTTATGGTTCTCGGCCCGCATCAGCCCTTTGGCAACGCGACCAGAAACATTGAGCACGCCGTACAGGTTGTTGTGGATTTGTTGAAGTTTTGCCGTGATAAGGGATACACGTATGCGGAGGCAACACAGGAGGCCGCGGACGGCTGGACAGAGCATGTGTTCGAGTGCAGCAAGGGGTCACTTGTCAACGAGGTTGACAGTTGGATGACGGGTGTAAACACGAACATCAAAGGCAAGCAGGTTAGAAGCGTTGTTAGATATGGTGGATCTGCGCAGGAGTTCCAGAGACGGTGCAGGGAGGTTAAAGAGTCTGGTTACCAAGGGCTCACATTTGCTAGGCAGGCTAAGAGTGTAAAGTTGTAGATTTCAGATTCGCAATGCCAATTCCAAAATTCAGTTCGCATTCCACCAAAATCCTCGAATGCAAGTAATACACCGTCGAAGTCGTAAGACTTAAGTCTGTCTTTTGTCTCTCACTCTAGTGTGGATTCTATTGTCTTGGAGCAGTCTCGAATAAGCTTGCATGCTAGTCTGAAAACGATACAATATGCTCGCTGATTGAGCTGAGGTTAAGCAAAGCACAGCCCAGTCGTTCCCAGAAGGGCCCAACCAATATGGAATATCAAGAAATATATGGTCTAGACATAGATTCCTAATTGAACTAGAATGAAAGCTACAATATGATACAGCTGGATGCAAAAACCTTTAGTCATCTGCAAACTAGGATAAGCCTATGGTTACAACGCGGTGCCGCTAGGACGAAGGCCGTGACCTCATCCACGTGGTATCAACTACCTTATCAAACGTACTTAGCAAACATTAGCCATAGAGGCAGCATGACTTTGATTAATCGAAATATTAGATGTGAGCATTCATTGACTAACATCGGCGCGGAACACGATATGCGTGATGTCCGACATCGGGTCCCTACACTAACACCAAGGACCTGTTGATAGGGCGCATGCGGCCAAATGCTGATCTGTCTATCGTCGCGGGGTAAAACACGTCTCTATCTTTCTTCAACCCCGCCAGCAGCCAAAGGCTTGGCCCATAAAGAAGTGTCACATTTAGTCTTTTGATAAGAGCAGCTGACGCACAAGATGATCGGCCAGCGCGGCTTCTCGGGATGACCCCTCAGACGCCGCGCACCGGGTGGGGGAGTTGGTCGCTGTATGTGGAGTCAAGACACCCGAATCAAATGGGGAAAGTCATACCTGAGCGTCAATGGAAAGCCACGCCCGATACCTAAGAACACCGAATGCGCAACATCGCGATGATGGACTACTTATTGAGGATGCCATCAACGAACTGTGAGCACATAATCATAGACAAGTTGCATGACATTAATCACCTTGAGCTTTCTCAACTACAACTACTAAACTTTTGATCAATTACTTCCTCCTCCAAACCTCTTTAATCACATAACATGGACGTCCCCGGCTTTGCTCTAGTTACAGGTGCAGCCTCTGGCATTGGTAGAGCATGTGCTCGCGGTTTCGCTCAAGAAGGCTCCGCGGGTATCGCATTACTAGATCTTAACGCAGACGCGCTCAAGACAGTCAAAGAGGAAATCGAAGCCGAGTTCGGAAAAGACCGCAAGATTGAGTTGCTCACCTACCCCATCAACATCGCCAACGAGGAGGAAGTCATCAAGGTCGTCAATGAAGCAGCAGCCAAGTTTGGCAGGCTGGACTATGTTGTCAACGCCGCCGGCATCGCCATCAAGCACAAGGGCGGCGCCGCGTTCGCCAAGACGGAAGACTGGCAGCGGGTTCTCGACGTGAACATCAATGGAACGTTTTACGTGCTGAGGGCGGCGGCGCAGATCATGCTGAAGCAAGAGCCGATTTTGTCAACAATTGACGGCAGACCTTTGCAAAAGGGGTCCATTGTCAACTTTGGCTCTATCCAGGGTGTTGTGGGCATCACACTCTCTACGGCATACACGACGACGAAGCACGCCGTCATCGGGTTGACGCGCACTGCATCCGAGGATTATGCCAACCAGGGCTTGCGCATCAATGCTATCTGCCCTGGGTACACAGAGACACCAATGACGACCAAGAACCCTGAGGTGTTGAAGGCGATGGAGGAGAGAGTCTCGACCGCGGTGCCGATGCAACGAATGGGAAGTCCAAAGGAGATTGCCGATGGTGTTTTGTACTTGGCTGGCGGCAGGAGTTCGTTTGTGACTGGGTCTGCGTTGATGGTTGATGGAGGTTATACATCGAGATAGTCTGCTCCCATCGGCTTTGAAATGAAACTTAAACGTTTGGAATGAAGCTGAAAGTGGATTGAACAAACTGACTGAACTTTGCTGAATGTGACCTGAGCATAGGTAATGTACACGTAAACATACTTACTTACCTTAGGTATGGGATTTCTCAGCAAGGTGGGCATGGTTTCTAGACGCGAAGTTGCAATTTCACAAAAGTAAGTACGTGTCGCATGCACTAGAAAATCAAAGAATATCCAATGCCTAGGGAATGTAATCTTTGAAATTTGAAAGTAATTACATCCTTGCCTAGCGTTGACTCACTACTGCACCTCGTGGGAGCCTTCTGGCGTTAGGAGATCCTAAACCCGCCCCGACTCCGAATAACAGCCCCGTGAGTTATGCAGACACGCCGGAGGCAGGCCATTCCGGAAAAGCGGGTCTGATTCACATTTGTGAATCTGCTGGTCCATGACTCGTTGAGTCGCACCGGTCAGTCTGGCCTTATTCGTGCATCAAAACAGCCTACCTGCTGTAATCACTTTAGGATGAGCGCCATCTCGACAGCACATTCCAAAGTTCTCTCTTCCACGAGATCACTCCGATGCGATGCGGACCGGAGAAGTAAACAATAAGATAGAGACGCAAGAAAAAAAAGTTTGCGACAGCCGAATGCATACGCAGACGGTGTTCATGTTCAATGTCCCAGAACTATGGTAACCGGGCTGTCCCCGCAAACCGCAGCGGGTTTGGCATACGTAGCATCCGCGGGGAAAACTCTAAAAGAAAATGTCCATCAATTTCAATGACAAGTCTGACAGAGTGAATTACTCAGATGAACTTCCTCCCATCAGCACCAGACTGTCACATCTTTATAATTTCATGTTGTGCTTTGGTGGTCTGTGGTGTTAGAGTTAAGAACAATAGACGACACTTGGATGAAGATCACCAACGCCAAGCTACCTTGCCACCTGGATGCATGTGACCGTGTATCTCTCGTAAATCTCAAGGTCCCAATCTGATCTATTTCAGGGTCCTTCCGAAACACGAAGGAGGCAATAAAACATCAGGCTCCCATCACCACCTCAACGGAATGAGTATGAGAAGTTCAGGGGTGGTTACATGTATTTACGAGGGAGATTGACAACCTGAAGAGTCTTTCGGGGGCCGAATTTGCATAACTTTATGAACACACGGCGGGAAGCTATGCTGCCGGACCACACCTCTACACGCTAGAGGACGGAGTTAAGCCTAGTCGGAGCCGGGCTGTCCCACCAGCACCGGCAAAGACTCAAAGAAGGGCGCACCAACACAACATCTCTGTCGTCACCACGATTTCAAAGCACCATACCTGCAGTGCCACGCACGTACGGGGGTTTTATTCACTGATCCAGTGCACTGGGCTGAAGCTATCCAGAGTAAAAACATGGCGACCCGGGTGTTCGTCTCGGCAACTACGGGATCGTGAGCACTAGATCGAGAAGATGTGCACCGTATATGCGTATGCAATGCAGACAAAAGATCGATCCGACAGGCGAAGCCACCCGGAGCGGCGCGTGTAGTAGGCACGGTAAAACGGGATTCAGCACCATTCGGTCCCCATTCCCGCCCGTAAGCCGTTTTATTGCGGACCCTGTGATCCTGTATATTTCGTCATTCCCGCTGCTGTTGGATGTGTGTGTTTTTCTTCCTCCCCGGTCACTCTACAAATACAATTCGTCCCCGGCTTATTTCCCCCCTTGTCCCCCTCGCCGTTTGCTCTTGGCACCTGTTCCATTGGCATATCCGTCCTCCGCTCTCACTTGGCTCACCTTCCTTGCTCCTCTTCTCTCGACTCTTCCTTCTGGCGTGTACCCACAAGTTTCTTGGACGCGTCTATCACCATTTCGACCTCGCGATGGCGCAAGAAAAGGCAGCCAACGATATTGGCGAGCCTCCCGTCCACACGAAAATACCATACTGGCGCATAGTCACCGATCAAGCAGGGATAACACAGGAAGTAGCCGACTATCGATATCCTGGGTCCGGCACAGAAGCAGATCCGTTCTTAGTGCAATGGATTCCCAACGATCCCAGGAACCCAATGCTATTTAGCAAAGCGACAAAATGGTTCATCACATTCATGGTGTCATTGACCACATTAGCAGTAGCGCTACTCTCATCAGCCTACACGGGCGGCATACGCCAAATCATAATTGAATTCGGCATCTCCCAGGAAGTCGCGACTTTGGGCGTGTCCCTATTCGTTCTCGGATTCGCCATTGGGCCTTTACTCTGGGCACCGCTCAGTGAACTTTTTGGACGCCAGTCGCTCTTCTTCGGCACCTATGCTATCCTCACGGCGTTCAACGCCGGTTGCGCCGGCGCCAACTCAGCCACGACCCTCATCGTCCTCCGCTTCTTCGCCGGTGCCTTTGGCTCATCTCCACTCGCCAACTCGGGCGGTGTCATCGCCGACATGTTCCCGGCCGCCGACAGAGGCTTGGCGATGGCGTTGTTTGCTGCCGCGCCGTTCCTCGGACCTGTTTTGGGACCTATCATCGGTGGATTCCTCGGTGCCGCGGCGGGCTGGCGATGGGTCATGGGTTTCTTGGCTGCGTTTTCTGGGACCCTTTGGCTTCTGGGTGCGGCCCTCGTCCCCGAGACCTATGCGCCGTATCTCCTTCGTCAGCGAGCTGCGAAGCTTTCCAAAATGACTGGCAAGGTTTACGTCAGCAAGATTGAACACGAGCAGGGCAAGATCAGCCTGGCAGAGTCGTTCAAGACGGCCCTATCGAGGCCCTGGATTCTGCTGTTCCGTGAGCCCATTGTGTTGCTCCTGTCGCTTTACATGGCCATCATTTACGGAACTCTATACATGCTGTTTGCGGCCTTCCCTATTGTCTATCAGCAAGAACGAGGATGGTCACAGGGAATTGGAGGACTTGCCTTCCTTGGCATCATGGTCGGCATGGTTTTCGCCATCATTTACACACTACCCGAGAACGGTCGGTACAAGCGAGTACAAGAGAGAAATGGCGGATTTGCTCCTCCGGAAACCCGTCTCCCATCAGCCATGGTCGGAGGTGTGGCGATTCCCATCGGTCTATTTTGGTTTGCTTGGACCAACAATGCCGACATCCACTGGATGGTCAGCATCGCCGCCGGCGTACCGTTCGGATTCGGAATGGTTTTGCTGTTCTTGAGCGTCATGAACTACCTCATCGACGCTTACACCATCTTCGCGGCGAGTGTACTCGCCGCCAACTCCGTTATCCGCAGTTGCTTCGGCGCTGCGTTCCCTCTGTTCACGACCTATATGTATAAAGATCTCGGCACGAACTGGGCGTCTTCGATTCCCGCGTTCCTAGCTCTCGCTTGCGTTCCGTTCCCGTTCTTGTTCTACAAGTATGGTCCCGCAATCCGAGCACGCTGCAAGTTTGCCGCACAATCAGAGGCTTTCATGGCGCGGTTGCGGGAAGAGGATACGTCGTCTTCAGACAAGGAGCCGGAAGTTAGCGGTGGACAAGAAACTGTGGCGAGCGATACTGTCGACTCTGATGCGTCATCTTCTGACGATCGCTCATTCATGCGCCGCCAGAGCACGCATCACACACGACGGACGATGAGCCTGGCCTCGACACGCCGGAAGTCCTACGATGGAAACCCGTACGATATTGACAGAGTCAACACGAGAGAGTCTTTTGCTACGAAGCACAAGTAATGGAGCGGCCTGGTGTGTGTCTGAGCTATGGATCAGTTGTCGAAGAACTGTTAAGGAATGATACCCGTTGAAGTATGGAGAGGCGATTCTGCCTCCTGTACTATGTATGCATACAGCTATTGTCGTCGATTACTCCAGCTCAAGAGCTAGGTGGAAGTTGGGACATCGATCACCAGCCATATTAGAGTTTACACTTGTTGCTCCCCCGAATAGCCTAATAACCATTCTAAAACTATCTTCAACCTTGAGTCCGTGGGTGCGGATCCTTCGCAGCATCAAAGACCCCAGACGTGACCCCCAACTTCCCCTCAATCCGGCAGATGCGGGGCATCCCGATGGCCGCAGTGGACATGGCGGCTTTCACGGCATCCGAGTGGTCAATTGGAGGCGTGGCATGTCATCTGCCTTTTGTCGTGGCACCGTTTCGACCTGCGCTTTTCATCCATCGTCTCATGGCAACAGGAGCAACTCCGCAGCCGGAGATCATCTTTTGCTGGGTCATGAGTAGTTCTGCTCTGCATGCTACATGTACAAGAAGAAGCTGCATCCGATGAATGGAAAGCTACCCCTCATCATCCTGTCTCTGTACTTGTACACCACGGCACTGCTCAAGACTTTTTAAACACCCCGATCACCATATTATTGTCCTGTAAGCCGTGACTTGTTTGCAAGAATAAGAGCATCATGGGCCTCAAAGAGCAGGATGGGAAGCTTGTCTACACCTACGACGCGGAGAAAGTCTGGGTCGAGCCATGGGGGCTAGATTCCTTTCGAGTGCGGGCTACCAAGGCTCGTGAGATGCCTACCGAAGACTGGGCGTTGCTCAAGCCCGAGAAAGCAGATGCCAAAATCATCATTGACGACAAGGCCGGAACAATCACCAATGGCAAGATCAAGGCTTCCATAACCAGTGGCGGTAAGCTTATGATGTGGAACTCAAAGGGCGAGCTGCTGCTCGAGGAATACTCGCGCCACCGACGGGATGTCCTGGACCCCAAGTGCAGCGCCCTCGACGTCGAGGCACGCGAGTTCCTGGCCATCGTCAACAGCAATGACTACCATCTCACTGCGAGATTCGAAAGTGTTGACGCAGAGGAAAAGATCTACGGCATGGGACAGTACCAACAACCATTCCTGGATCTCAAGGGCCACGATCTCGAGCTCGCGCACAGGAACTCCCAGGCCAGCGTCCCGTTCGCGGTATCCTCGCTGGGTTACGGCCTTTTGTGGAATAACCCGTCAGTCGGAAGAGCGATTCTGGGCCGTAACATCATGAGCTTCGAGGCCAAGTCAACTCGGGCCCTCGACTACTGGATCG